CTGGGACTGATATGGAGAGAACAATAACCTTATCCTACTGTAGGTAAAACAAGCTCAGTGGCTCCTAGGAAAATGAGCCAGCTTTATAGTAGACCAATTATGTGTTGTGTGGAGAAAGCTAGATCCCACATGACAAAATATGGTTCAAATCCCAACACAGATGGGTTAAAAAACATACTGGATGCATGTGTTTATGTGACCAGGATCCTGGTGGGAAGGTGGATTGGAGAAGTGTAGGAAAGAGAATTATGGCATGATCAGACTACACTGGGATACATGTTGTCTTTTTTGTTCTGCCATATGCACACACTTTTGGAGACACACACACAAAGAGTTGGTCTAATATAAAAAAAGGGATTTTTAAAAAATTATGAATATATGAGTGATAATCGATTAACTTTCATAAATCTAGAGTATATCCTGATAGTTTGATATATGTCAAATATATAAATACATTTACATTTGGACTCATGTCACACCAGATACAGAAATTAACTGGAAATAGTGTAAAACAAAAGACCTGACAGCATAAAACTACTAGTAGAACACACTGGAACAAAGTTTCTTGATATTGATCTGAGCAATGATTCCTTTGAAATGACACCAAAGGTTTAGGCAACAAAATCACAAAAATGGCATGTGGGTGCATAGGAATACCCAAATATGTAAAGGAAAGACTGACAGATCTAAAAAAAGAAATAGGCTATAACATTCTAATTGTTGGAGATGTCAACACCCCATTATCTCCTTTAGACAGATCAATAAGACCAAATCAAAACAAAACAAACAAAAATACAAACAAAAAAAAGAGATATAGGACCTAAATGATAAATCAGATGGATCTGACAGACAAAAACACAAAATATACATTATTCTCAGCCCCACATGGTAAAGATTGATCACATAATATAGCACAGAAACAGCCTTAATAGATTCAAAGGCATAAAAACTATATCCAGCATCTTCTCTGACCATGATAAAATTAAACTCGGTATTAATATCAGGAAAACCCCTCAAAAACACACAAATAGGGGAACCAGCAGTTAGCATAATGGCTATGTCGCTGGACTCCCACATAGTCGACCGCAGTTCACGTCCCGGACCCGGTGGCTTAAAACTCACGCTGGGTGCGTGTGCGTGCATGCCCAAGATCCCGAGAGGAGAATGGAGGAGAAGGGATTGCGGCGTGACCATCGCCCCTGGGGGGTGATTTCTCGCTTTCTGTCTCTCTGTCTCTCTCTGTCTGTCTGGCAAGCGCACACGCCCTACAGTGAAAATCTCTCAAAAAAAAAAAAAAACACACAAATAGATGAAAACTAAATAACCTAGTTCTGAATGACTTCATGACTACCAAAGAGATTAAGAAGGAAATCAGGATTCATGGAAATAAATGATAATGAATACAAAAGTTTCCATAATTTATGGGACATTGCAAAAGCAGTCATAAGAGGGAAGATCATATTAATTAGTGTACATAAGTAAAAGATGGGAAGGTGGGAAAGGACAACCTAATATCATGCCTCAGGGAAAAACAACAACAACAGCAACAACAACAACAACAACAAAATGCCAGGAGAAAAGAAATAATGAAGATTCAAGCAGAAATAAATGAAATAAAAAATAAACTATACAGAAAAAAAGCAAAAGTTGGTTCTTTAAAAAGATAAACAAGATTAGCATGCCTTTAGATATACTAATTAAGGAGAAAGGAACAAGATAAATCAAATTTACAACGAAACAGGCAACATTACAACAGACATAGTAAATACAAAATATCATTAGAGGATACTATGAGTGACTATACACCAACAAAGAAGAAAACCTGGATGAGATGGACAAATTTCTGGACACATATAATCTACAAAGATTGATTCAGGAGGACATAGAAAGCCTGAATAGACCCATAACAAGCAATGAGATTGAATCAATAATAAATAACCTCCAAACAAAGAAAAGTACAGGCTCTGATGGTTTCCCTTCTGAATTTTACAAAACTTTTAAAGAAGAGGTAATCCCCAATCTATTCAAACCATTTCTAGAGATCCAATGGAAGGAAACCTCCAAATTCATTCTATAAAGCCTCCATTACCCTCATTCCCAAAGTGGATAAGGATATGACAAAAAGGAAAACTACAGACCTATATCTCTGATGAATATAGATGCAAAAATTCTCAACAAGATACTTGCAAACTGTATCCAACAGCATATAAAAAAGATTATTTATCACAACCAGGTAGGCTTTATTCCAGGGATGCAAGGATGGTTCAACATATGCAAAAACCATGACTGTAATACACTATATTAACAGAAAGAAAGATAAAAACCATATGATTATTTCAATTGATGCAGAAAAAGCATTTGACAAAAATACAACATTCCTTTATGATTAAGACTCTCAGTAAAATTGGCATAGAAAATCCTTTCTTAGTCTAATAAAAGCCATTTTTGAAAAACTTATAGCTGACATTATACTGAATGGGGAAAAGGTCAAAGCTTTTCCACTAAAATCTGATACAAGACAAGACTGCCCACTCTCTCTTTCTACGCTTCTATTCAATATAGTACTAGAAGTCCTAGCCAATGTGATCAGACAAGAGAAGGAAATAAAAGTCATTCCAATAGGCAAAGAAGAACTGAAATGATCTGTTTGCAGATGACATAATTGTATACATAGAAGACCTAATAGCATCCACAAAAAAACTCAGAGTAATAATACATACAGTAAAGTGGCAAGATACAAAAACTAACTTACAAAAAATCTATAACATTTTTATATACAAACAATAAGCAGACAGAGGCAGAACTAAAGAAAGTAACTCCATTTACCATAGCCACAGAAAGTATAATATACCTAGGATAAAAACTAAGGAAGTCAAAGACTTCTATAAGGAAAACAATGAATATCTTAAAAAAGAAATTGAAAGTAATACAAAGAAGAGGAAGGACATACAATGTTACTGGATTAGCAGAATTAATATAATCAAAATGGCAATCCTACCCAAGTTAATTCATATGTTTGATGCAATTCCTATAAAATTACAAGAGACATCCTTCACAGATCTAGAAAAAACAATCACACAATTCTTCTAGAACCATAAAACCCTGTATTGCCAAAGCAATCCTACACAAAAGGAATTGAGTCAGTGAAATCTCACTTCCTGACCCGAAAATATATTACAAAGCCATGATATTCAAAACAGCATGGTATTGGCTTAAACCAGACATGAGAACCGATGGAACAGAGCAGAGACCCCAGAAATAAACCCCCAAACATACAACCAACTGATCTTTGACAAAGGATACCAGTCAGTTCATTGGAAAAAGGAAAACATCTTTAGCAAATGGTGTCGGAAAAACTGGATATCAACCTGCAGAAAGATGAATCTGAACCCCTATCTGTCACCATCAACAAAAATCAACTCAAAGTGGATCAAAGATCTAAACCTAAAACCTCGAACTATAAAATTACTGGTGGAACACACTGGGGAAACTCTGGGAGACATCGGGGTAGGCAGAGACTTCTTAAACAAGACCCCCAAAGCACAGGCAATAATCCCCAAAATAGACAGGAGGGATTACATCAGATTAAGACATTTCTCCACAGCAAAGGACATAGTAATTACTGTGAATCAACAACCCTCAGAATGGGAGAAGATTTTTGTTAACTGTGCCTCAGCTAAGGGACTGATAACCAGAACATACTGGGAACTCAAGCAGCTTACCCAGAAGAAAATGATTAACCCAATTAAAAGATGGGAAAATGAGCTGAATAAACAACTCTGTAGGAAGACATATGAAAGCCAAAAAGATATGAAAAAATGCTCAACATCCCTCATTGTAAAAGAGATACAGATCAAAATCACAATGAGATACCACCTAACCAAAGTCATAATGGCAAAGATTAAAAAAAAAGAAAATGGTTAAGTGCTGGAGGGGATGTGGTGAAAGGGCAGCATTCCTACATTGTTGGTGGGAATGTAAATTGGCCAAACCACTGTGGAGAACAGTATGGAGGTTCCTCAAAGACCTCCAAATAGAACTATCATATGATCCAGCAATTCCACTCCTGGGTATCTACCCAAAGGACAGGAGAACACTGGGTCGGAAAAGTGCTCGCATAACTACACTTATTGTGGCATTATTCACAATTGCTAAGACATGGAACCAATTCAAATGTCCAGAAACAGATGAATAGATTGAAAAAGTGTGGGACATATACTCCATGGAAGAACATTCAGACATAAAAAACAACAAGGCCCTGGGATTTGGTAGAAACTGGATGAATATGGAAGATTTATTACTAAGTGAAGCAGGTCAGGCTATAAAAGAGAGACATTGATGTCTCTGATTAACATATACCCTCCCAAATTTATTTTACGAAGCTGCCATCATCCCCATTCCAAAAACAAAGGATATAATAAAAAAGAAAAAGAAAAATAAAGAGAAAGAAAGAGGAAAAAGAAAAAGAAAAGAAAACTTCAG